AGTTAAAAGGCCACACTTGAGAACCTAGGGGGCCGTGTATGGCCTCGAAGCCGCAGGTTCCCCACCCCTGCTTTAGACAGTATACCTGTATTTCAGCAAAGCATTTGACAAAGTCAGTCTTCTCTTGTTGGCAAGATGGGAGAGGCATAGACTGGACAATAATATAGTTAGGTTTGTTTGAAATTCGTGGATGACTAAACTGAAAGTATAGCCATAAGTGGGTCTACCTCAGAGGGGGGTCTCTGGTGGAGTGTTGATGCCATACTTTTCAGCATTTTTCTTAAGTGACTTGGATGAAGGCACAGATGGAATGATTGTCAGATTTGTAGATGGCACAAAGCTGGGGGGAATGGCTGGTACTCCGGATCATAGGCAGACCTAAATAGAACTGTGGAATGAAACTAATAAAGATGAAATTTAATAGGCATAATTGTCAAGTCCTACACTTGCAAAATCAATTGCACAAATATAGGACAGGAAAGTTGTGACTGGACAAAAACTCCTTTGTAAAAGTTCTGGTGATTTTAATGAACTTCAACCTTAATGTGAGTCACCAGTGTGATGTGGCAGCCAAAAAAGGTAATGTGGTCCTTGGTGACATTAATAATGTATCCAAAAATGAAGGACCCTGTAAAGAGGTAAATCTTGCTGTGTTCTGCCCTGGCCATAGCACATCTAGATTGGATTATTTCTGGGTTATTGATTAGACTAGTAGTTCTGGTTATTTGTTGTTATTGTTTAGTCATTTTCAGTCAAGTCCAATTCTTCATGACCCCTTTTGGGGTTTTCTTGGGAGAGATACTGGAATGGTTTGCCATTTTCTTCTCCAGTTCACTCTACAGATGAGGAAGCTGAGGCAAACAGGGTTAAGTGACTTGCTCAGGGTCACACAGCTAGTAAGTGTCTTTGGCACCACATTTTAGATAGGACAGCTAAAAACCTGAGATAGATCCAGATGGTGAGAGGTCTGGAGATTACACCACGGAAGAATTGCTTAAAGGAGTTGAAGATATTTCATTTGAAGAAAAGATTTAAGGGGACCGTAAGTTGTTGATTAGTTGTTTTCAGTCATGTCTGACTCTTTATGACCCCATTTGGGGGTCATTTTCTTGGCAACGATGCTGGAGTGGTTTGCTATTTCCTTCTCTTACCCACTTTACAGATGAGGAAACTGAGGCAAACAGGGTTAAGTAACTTGCCTACGGTCACACAGCTAGTAAGTGTCAGAGGCCGGATTTGAACTCGGGCCCTCTTAACTCCAGGCCCAGCCCAGCACTCTAGCCATTGCACCACCTAACAGCAAGAGGAAGAACCTGGAGTTACTGGTGTAAATTTCAAAGGGACAGATTTTTTAGATATTTTTAAAAGCTTCCTTCTAAATCCAAATCCTTCTAAATCAGGCTCAAAATGAAATGGACTGCAAATCTCCCCATCACTGAGGGTCTTCAGACAGTATGGATGACCATTGGTCAGGGTTGTTATAGAAGAGATTCCTATTCAGGTATGACTTGGGATCTCTGAGCTTCCTTCCAGATTTTTTTGTTCTGTGATTTTGTGAGAGAAGATCCATTATTGACAAAGTAGGTGGTACCGCTTTGATTTAGTGAAACACCCTTGGATACTGATGCTTCACAAAGCCCTACTCCTTGAAAATATGTAGGATAGCTACCGAAATATTGATGCCTTTTACCCCCATCATTTCTCAATATTACCTCATTCTCCTTCCCTCACTAAACCCTCCATTATAACAAAGAAACAGCTACACCAAACCAATTAGCTCGGTGACTTAAACTGTCTGCATAAGTGCGGTAAAGTTTTGGTGCAGGGGCATTCACTATATACTTATAGAGCCAATCTACCTGTCTCCTTCAGCAAGCCAGACTTTATCACTCATGTTTGAAGTACCTTCATTGTCATCCTTTGTCAAGAAGCTAAAATGAATATAATTTCTCCAGATTTTGAAATGAAAAGGTTAATTTCTGGTGCTCTTAACATGCTAAGTAAATTCTTGTGGAAATAGAGCAAACCATCCTAATATCTGGAAAGGGTTCAACAAATTCAGATTAACCATTAATTGGTTATGGGCCTATTATGTGCAGAGCACTGTGCAGTTCATAGGTTTGAGATTTTTATCCCTCCATTAGAAGACTTAGGTGGAATATAATAGTTGTTTCCAACTACTTGAAGGATTGTCAAGTGAAAGAAGTTTTAGCCTTGTTTGCTTGGAATTAGAGGGAAGAATTAGGAACAATGAGTGGAGGCCATGAAGGGGCAAGTACAGGGTCTAGGTGAGGAAAAATCTTCCGAACAATTAGAGCTATCCCAAAGTAGAGTAGGCTGTCTTAGGAGGTAATGGATTCTCTCTCAGAGGTCTTCAAGCAAAAGCTCAATGACCATCTGCCTCGTGTGTTGTAGAGAGGATTCTTGTTCAAGTGTGGATTTGTACTAGATGACTTCTGAAATCCTGTCCAACTGTGAAATTCTGTGATTCTGTATCCAGTAGAGTAATAGTCTATAACAATGGCTCATGTGTGGGCTTGCCCACAGCAACTAAGTCATTGATCAGTATTGCAAGTTACCCAGCTCACCTCCATCCTGGATCTCTCCTTCCCTTCCCCTTACCCATTCAGGGGAAGAAATTTTATTTTTTCTTCTTCTTGTGTTTGGAAAATAATGAAGTCAACAAGCCTGCTTTGCATTACAAACATCTCCTCTTCAATCATCTTTGCATCAGTACATCTTTGTTTGTGTCCCAGCTTCACACTGATGTCAGCCTTCCTTTGGGAATAGTGCTTGCTAGTTAATTGCTGCCTCAGAGGCACCAGAGGTTGAACAGACCAAAATATATTGACTAATTGTTCTGATTTTGCTCATCCATTTTCTCCGTGATAGAATGGGTAGTTCTGTTTTTGTTTGTCTCTAAGGAGATGGGGCAGAGGGCTTTTCTCATCAGATATTATTGATGGATTTTTTTATGCCACCTACACTTTGAATCTAAATTTTCTGTCTTGTCTCTTAGCTCTTAAACCTACCTCCAAATATATATTTAGGTAAATAGTAATGTGTAATGGCACCTCTGTTTTACTTACTGATTTCTGAGGAACCCAGAACCCCACCCTAGCCAACTGCGTCTCTCTCACTCATTTTTCCTCTGCTCTCAGTGGGGGCCTCTGGGAACATTGACATTTCAAAACAAGAACAGTTTGGGCTGTCCCCAGGGCCCTACTAAGCAGTGGTCCTTCAAAATCACAGCACGAGTCCATGGTTTCCTAGCTCTAAGGTCAGAGCCCTGTCTGCTCAGCCTGGAGGAGAACTGCTTTCCTGTGTTACATGACATTTACTACTCAAAGATAAGTCCTTAGCAGTTCAATATAAAGCTATTCTGTGTCTGTCACTGAATGAAGTAGAGAAGGGAGAGTTAAACAGATAACTTCCCAGGGAGGGGAAAGGCCTGAAAAATTCAAAGCACTAATTCCAGCTGCAGGCAACTAAGATGATGAGGGGAGGAGAGGACTTACCATAGAGCCAATCTAACCCTTTTTATAAGAGTCTTTTGTCAGTGGATAGGGCTGAAGGGGTGAGGCCTTGTGGGGAAGGGAAGCCAGTGAGATGGAGGGAGGGGAGGAAATTACTTGGTCCAGAGCAGTATGCCCAGTGGAAATGCTGTCCAGGCCTGTGCTGCAAGGAGGGAGGGACGTGCAGAGCTGGTGTTACTCAAGTCCAGGATGAATTGCTGATCTTTTTAATCCTCTGGCTACAGCTGTGCCTCTCTGACAAGTTCAGAAGGTTAGAACTAGATTCTGACTTGTCCCTCCATAAGCAGCTGAGGCTCTTCTGCTACTTCCTCTTCCTCTCCCTTTTCCTCTGCCTTTCGGTGGCTCAGTCCTCAGGCTCCTTTTTTTCACAAGCCGTTGTACTGTCGCCTGCTCTGAACAGACCCTAACACAGCCTTGGAAAGAAATGTCACCAGGTCATGAAAATAGTAGTGGTGACTTAGCTGGGAAAAAGAAGCTTATTCTGTGACTGTTGCCCTGATTTTCTTAATTGTATTTTCTGTAATGGTCATCACATTGCACGTTGCCCAGTAACTAACACAAGGCAGGCCAGCTGCTAAGATCAAATTGGGGGAAATCTATGCTAGATAACTGTTTTCATATAGCTGGAAGAGACCTCAAGAGAGATATTCATTCTCCTGCTTTCAAGTTGACAGACTTCATTAGCTTCATTTTATAGATGAGGAAACTGAGGTCCAAGAATTTAAGTGACTAACCCAAGGTCACACATCTAACCAGTTAGTGAAAGGAGGGACTAGAGCTCTGTTCTCCTATGTCCTCATGTATTGTTCTTTCCACTATACCAAAGGAAATGAGTATGAGGAACCCTTTTGAAAAACTTCAGTGTTATCCAGTGTGATTCTCCTTCCCATCCATGAGCCCATCTCCACCACTAGTCACTGTATATCTTTCCAGCCATCGGTATTGTGTAAAGGAAAGAGCCCTAGGCTTAGAATGGACCAGAGAACTCTCTCTCTGTCTCAGTTTCCTCATCTGTAAAATTAAGGAGTTAGATTGAGTTACCTCTAAGGTGCCTCTTATCTTTAAATCTCTGATTCTAAGATATTGCCTAATCTGTTTAGTTCCTAAATATAGTGATATCTACTCTCATGTCCCTAACTAAACAGGGGCCTTAATTTCTCATTCCATGTGATGGTGGGCAAATCTGTAACTCCGTATGGCTCAGATTCCTTACCCAGAAAGTGAATTTACCAAAACTAGACTATTAAATGAGGTTGTAGGCAGGAAGAATGGTTAATGAAGGCCTTAAGTATCTTTGAGTGTTAGAGAAATGCCAAATAAAATCGGATTGAATGAGAATAGGCAATTGACCTCTGTTTCTTAGGAACTTTCACAATGTATCAGATTGTGGAAAGGAGACTTTCTTCCAGTCCTTTGCAGTGATTCTTCATCTGAATTCTCCTGTTTTTTTATTCTTGATAACAGCAGTGCTGAGTCTCTAGACAGACTTCTTCCTTCTGTGGGCACAGGCCGGTCACCACGGAAACGGACCACTAGCCAATGTAAATCAGAGCCACCCTTGTTGCGGACCAGCAAAAGGACAATCTACACAGCTGGTCGGCCTCCCTGGTACAATGAACATGGAACACAGTCAAAGGAAGCTTTTGTCATTGGTAAGTCTCAAATGCTTCTGGCAGACTTAAAGTGGTCTTTGCTCTGGCCTGATTGTCACAGCCTGGAACTTAAATGTGTGTTGGCCCTGGGTTCTTTTCTCTTTGAGAGTTCTATTCTTTTAAGGATCACCATCAGATCTTTAGCAGAAGACCTTCTTCTCTTTGGTTAACCCCTAAATGCCAAGAGCCTACCATGAATGAGTCTGTTCTACAGCCCTGTTGGTAATAGGGGAGCCCTTTGGTAGACTGAAGGAAAGAATTGAGACCCTGTGATTGTTGAAAATCAGATCCAGTCCTGATTCCTGTTTATTTACTCATCCAAACAACATTGACTTTTTGCTCTCTGGTTTCAAAGTCTATATGATATAGGAACCTTGTTTTACCCCTGCTTGAGATACCCCAAGAGTGAGAACTGAAGTCTAAGACTCCCTTTATGTTCAGGGGCCTTTTTCTTAAGGGTAATAAAATGAAATGATGTTAGGTTTTCCAAGAGCTGTGGCATTTTTTTGGACATTGAACTAAGGGGTGAAGATTCAGTTAAAGAAATAAAGTTTATTCCTTTCTTATCACCTACCTGTCTCCCTGACAGGCCTGGGTGGCGGTAGTGCCTCTGGGAAAACCACTGTGGCCAGAATGATTATTGAAGCTTTGGATGTCCCCTGGGTAGTCCTGCTGTCCATGGATTCCTTCTACAAGGTAAGTTGTGTACAACTCCATTAAATAGGCTAGAACTGATCAGTCTGTTTCCTTGGTAAAGAAACAGAGACATAGGGAGTTTGTGATTTACTCCTAGTAACATGATGTTGAGAAAAGAGTCAAGGCCCCTGGTTAACTAGACGGAAAAGAATGGCTGTTGTATACGTTTGAGAACTGAGGAGAGAAGGTAACATTATATGAAAAAAATGTGGAGGCAGTAGATAGGAGAGAGGTTCAAGGAGAAATGAAATCACATTAAATTGTGTTCTGCAGTTTTGTTGGATTTTCTGAGCACTTCCATTTATATTATTTAATTTGTATTTCTACTGATTTCTCTCCATTCCAAGTCATTTAGTTGCAGCTCTATAAATGACTAGCTTTGTAGTTTTCTCCACTGACCCTTTTGATTTCTTAGAGGTTCAGTCACCCTTTATGTGACTTCCCTCTGCTCCACTCTAGAAAGCCAGTTTCACAGTGTCACTTTGCCCTATGCTTATAGTGCACACGTGCATGTGTCTTCATATGGACCCACACACAGCAGTGACTGGTTGCTGTGGGCAGTGGGTAGCCATTTTAGCCAAGTGTAGCTGTCAGACAGGTACATGCCCTCAGCCTGGTGTGTTGAGAGATTATCTGTCTCTGCCCAGGAGGGGCAGATAGGCCTCTCAGTCCTGGAGAGTACAAACAGCAGGCTTAATATATCAGTCTTACTCTGCCTGCCCTCTCAGGAATGGTGGGCACTGGCCCAGTCTCCTCATTTGCTTCCTGACAGGATTCTTTGCCCAGGAGTGGATTATACCTGGCTCCCCCTCTGCCCTACACTAACCAAGTAAACAACTAATAGAAGATGTTGTCTTTCTTGGGAGACTTGGGCTCATTGTTCAAGGTTTCATCAGAAAGAAGGGTATCTAGGTAATACATTGGATAGAATGTTAGACTTGGTATTGGGAAGACCTGAGTTTGAATCCTGCCTTAGCTACTAACAGTGTGACTTTGGGCAAATCACTTAACCTCTCTTTGCCTCAGTTTCCTCATCTGTAAAATGAGGATAATAATAACACCTATCTCCCAGGGTTGTTGTGAGGATCAAATGAGATAATTGTAAAGTGCTTAGCACAATGCCTGGCACATAGTAAGTGCTATTATAATTATTATTATCATTATCATTATTATATCCTATGAAAAGACTTTTCAAATACCTTTTCCCCGTTCCTCAGCAGAAGCCCTAAGTAAAGGTTTTCTTCCAAGGTATCTGGTCTCTGTCCTGAGAGCAGTCATCCAGGTGTGCTGAGGGCACAGGTTCATCCTCTCTTCTCAGTTCTTTACCCCAGGCCTTCTCTGTGACAGGTGCTTACCAAGCAGCAACAGGAACAGGCAGCCAACAATGACTTCAATTTTGACCACCCTGATGCCTTTGATTTTGACCTCATCGTTTGTACCCTCAAGAAACTGAAGCAGGGGAAGAGTGTGAAGATCCCGATCTATGACTTTACCACACACAGCCGGAAAAAGGACTGGGTATGGTTGGCATTGGGGGCCAGAGGCTGCTGCAGAAGGTGCCAGACTTTCCCACATCCATTTACACTCTTGACCTTAATGCAGCCTTTCCTGTGCTCTGCAGGAAGTAAAGTTGGGAAAAAAAGAAAGTAAAGTATGTTGTGGGGAGTCATTGACTCTCCCTCAGGCACTATCTCCCCTCACTCCCAGCACTCCTCGGTGTCACTCAGGTGTCCCTGGGCACCTCTCTGTACCTTATGCAGTGAAATCATTTAACAGCCTCATCCCACCATCAGATTCCACATGAAGGTCTTGGGCTACAGGACGTCTAGACAGCTTTGTTGGTTATTTCTACTTCCAGTTCTGCCTGGGACTTTAGCAGGGCTTGGATTAAGGAAGTGCATTCTTGTTTGTGAACCAGCCAGTCCCATTTTTCTGAGAGAAAAATCTGTCTTTGTGGAAGAGGAAGATGTCTCCCATGCCTCCTTAGGCCTCATCATAATCCTCTCCAAAAGGCAAAGATGCTGTAGGAGAGACTCCTGCTCAGACACAGGTTTAAAGGCAGATTTAATCTTGATGCAGGGAGAGCTTCCTGTCAGGTGGAGCTGTGCGAGGTGTGGGTGGGGGTGGAATGGATCACCTTAGGAAATGGCTGGTTCCTCCTCACCGAAAGCTTTCAGGTGGAAGCTAGTTGGTTCTTTATGGGGGAATTTTAGGGGATTCCGGTTCAGTGACAAATTGGACAGGATGGTCCTCTGCAGCCCCTTCTGACTCGGACTCTGTTAAAGACTTTGGAGGCAAGGTTGACGATCAGGCTTATTCCTGGAATGGTGTTTGTGTCAAAGACATAACAGGATTGACTGCGATTCCATGTGTTATGATCAGGAATTCTGGGGGAGGTGGGTGCCCTGTGTGGTACAGCTATGTAGGAGCCTGGACCTAGAGCTCAGGAGAAAGGATACGATCCTTCCTAAGAACAGATGGAGTTGCCAAGGATTAACAGGTCACTTTGTCTAAGAGCTGGAATGAAACAGGCAGGCATACTTTGGAATTCCTGGAGGGAGAGCTGAATCCTCTCCTGGAGATCATGGCCAAGTAAGACAATTTTTTTCCACTGGCAGGAGGCGTAAACTTTATGCTAGTGACATACCAATGAAGCAAGGGATGCGCTCTCTGATGATGCTTCCATCTAGCCCCACTCCCTGGTTCTAGGTCACATTTGGCGTTCTTGCTCATTTCAGGCAGAAAGCATCATATTTCCCTCATTCCCTTCTTGAGAACCGCTTCACCACAGTCAAATGAACATTGTTATACTGTGAACTTTTTTTGGGGGGGAGGGGATAGAACATCAGCCACAGCTGGGTTCCCCAAACCTCTCTGCCCAGTAGTTCTGGCTCCTAGTTGTTTCAGGGTCCAGAAGGAAGTGGGTTAGATAGTAGTTGCATGAACTTAACTGGCATCTTGATTGGCTTTTCCTTGAATTTGGTGATTGAGGGCCTTCAGCTAGGGTACTGGCAGTGGTGCTCTTCCTCTTTTTATTTTCTTTTCAGACCTTTCCTGTAGCTGATGGAGAAACTCTCTGACAGGTTTGTGATTATCTTGCAGAAAACCCTGTATGGCGCCAATGTGATCATCTTTGAGGGAATCATGGCATTTGCAGACAAGCAGCTCTTGGAGGTGAGTATGAGGTGGGCATGAGTCTGGAAAACAGATGGAGGGTGCATGTGCCCTGGGTTCAAGTAGCCAAGGGCCTTTGCTGCCAGTGGGCACACATCGGTGTCTGCGGAGGATGAAGAGAGTTCACTCAGAGCTGTCAACGGGAAGCTTCTGCAAGGCATCAGGCTTCATGGAAAGTGTCCAGCACCCTGTCTGTGTGACTGCTCTGATGGTCACAAGCAAACCAGAAGGATTTTGATGAGGTGGTTTGTAAAGGACCTTTTCTAGGGACCTGCTTTCAAGCTGTAGCACTAAATGGTGCAGGGAAGTAAAAAACCCCACTACAGTCTGGGGGTGTAACTCATGGATAGAGAGTAAGAAGGAAATGAAGCTTTGGGGTATCCCTGACCTCTTCGTAGAGTGACTTCTTCTAAGCTTGCTAACATCAACACTTGTAAGGCTGACTTCTACCATCCGAGATGAGACTTGGAAGAACTCCCCTTAGGAGTGCCCAGGGCCTTCTGGCCGAGGATACCAGGGGGTTCTCTTAGTGATTAACCTTCTCGGTCATTGTTCATACAGCCACTCTGACTACCTTCCCCTCTGCTCTGAGCAGGCAGTCCCACTGAGCTGTCCCTCAGGAAAGAAATATCACTTCAGCAGGGCTCTTGCTTTAGCTCTTAGATATGAAGATCTTTGTGGACACAGACTCGGACATCCGCCTGGTGCGACGGCTTCGGAGAGATATCAGTGAGAGGGGCCGGGACATCGAGGGGGTCATCAAGCAGTACAACAAGTTTGTCAAACCAGCCTTTGACCAGTACATCCAGCCCACCATGAGGCTTGCAGACATTGTGGTTCCCCGAGGTGAGCCAACTCAAATGCTAGGCGGGATGTTGGTTGGAACAGCTTTGCTCTTCCTTGGAGAAGTGCATCCCCAGCACTCCCCAAGGCTTGAGGGGGGGACCATGGCTGTTATGATGACCTATGGAAGCTACTGGTATTCAGCCATTGGGCTACTTGCTGTTATAATCTCAGCTCTTCCCAGAACTTAGGCTCTTCCTCTCCTCCTCATTTCTTCCTGACCAGCGATCATGCTACTGCTCTGTTCCACTTGCCACCTTCTTGTACTCCTGAAGCAGAGTAGCAATTAAGTCTGCCTATGCCATGCTTCCCTGCCCTTCTGCTGCTTTTCCCTCAGTCCACCTGTATAAGGTGCTACAGTAGCCCTAGGTTCCACGACCTATCTCATTCACATCTCCTGGCCCTCTGGAAGCTGTTCTCTCATCCGCTCTCCCTCTTGGACTTTGGGCCATGTTTCAAGTACCTTCTTATGGAACAGTTACTGTTCAGTGGTTAATTTTTTTATTGGTCAGATGAATGGTAGGTGACTGTGTTCTCAATTGTCTTACTGCCTCTGTGTATGAAAACACCTCAATCCTTTTCTGAAGGATGTTTCCCTCAAATCCCTATAGAGAAAATCCACTTCCCCCATTGTTTACCCTTAAAGTGGAAAACAGAAAATTGAGGTGGATAGCCACCATTGCTTTCTTGAACTGGAAACCAGGGTTCATGTACCTCTTCTCAGTGGAACTGTTCAGTTGCCTGGTTCCCTGCTGGCTGCTGTGGTCCTTCTGGGAGTCACACAAAGAAAGAAGTTAGTTGTGTTATTTTCACGTGTTTTATGTAGGTAAGGAATAGGAGAGTGGATGAGAGAGCGGGGAGTGCTTGTTCTTTTTTTTAATAGAAATTACCTCAGTCATTTTAGCCCAGGCAGTCCCTTTCATCCCATAGCCAGAGCAATAGAAACCTCCAATTAATAGCCAGTGAAGCTTTTTGAATTTGCATAATCATTGCCCAAGAATCATTTCTGCCTGATACCTTCCCCCACCCCAAAAGAAACTGTTTCTTGTAGTCATTTTAGCAGCAGATGGGTATTGAGTGGTAAGTGTGGGTAGGAAGGGAATAAAAATTTTCCTCTGAAAAGATCTGATTTCTAGTCCTTGTACTCAAAAATACTTTGTAACTAAGCACGCTTTTTTTTTTTTCCTCTTGTCCCCAAAGGGAGTGGAAATACCGTGGCCATTGATCTGATTGTTCAGCATGTCCACAGCCAGCTGGAAGAGGTAAGCTCTGAGTAAGCCAAAGGGGCCAACAGAAGGCCCTCAATTAAAAACAGAGGCTTTGGCCTTGGGCACGATGAGTGCCTCATTCATTGTTTCAGACCTGTATGAGGGTGAAATCCTGATCAGTTCTCTTCCCCTGTTTGGTGGCCTCCTGAGGCCCATCCAATCTCCACAGGGTAATGTACTTTTCCTCCGTTCTGCATAATGAACAAGGGTAGAGCCAGGTCTTTCCCACCCTCTCCCTAACTCCGTCACCATATGTGCCATCACTGTCATTCATGTACACTAAGAAGATCTTGGTTCTGCTGGATTTGCTGTTTGTTCATTTTTACTGCCCAGGTACTAAAAGAATAGTTGAACATTCCAAAACTTGAATATCTGCTCTTCCCACACCCACTACTCCCTGTCTGTAGCATGTTAGGTGCTCATAGGCATGCTCTGGGCATGAGGATCTGTGCCTCTCAAGGATAGTAGAGAGTGACTTGGCTTCTTTGTAAATTGAGAAAGTAACATCTTCCAGAATTTACTTATTTTATATCATTGTTTTAGCCTGGGATCGTGTTAAGGGAATGTTATTCAAGGAAAACTCCATTTTAAAAATTTTTTCTCAAGAATGAATGGGAGGTACTTTTTTGCATATTAACTCTTTGTTGTACTGGAACACTTTGTGAACCTTCTGAAACCATATTATGGCTAATAAGATGATAACAATTTTCTGGTTACATAATGGCTGATAATATGGTAACATAGTTTTTTGGTTATACCTATGTACTTCGGCACACAGATGCTTTATCCCTGTGATTAGTAATTTTGGTTGCTCAGAGAAAAGTGGCTAACAGGCTATTTCTTTCAGAGCCCTAAAGCTATCTGGACCTTTAGTAATCCCATACTTACGTCATATTGAGTCATTATCATAATTACTGACACAGACATGTAGCATTTTAAGGTTGGCAAAGCCCTTTACAAACATTTTCTCATTTGATCCTCCCAATGTCCCTATGAGGTAAGTACTGCAGTTATTACCATCTTCACTTTTTAGATGAGACTGAAGCACAGAAAGAGAAAGTATTTTTGTTCATGGCCATACAGCTTGTAAACGTCAGAGGCATGACCTGAACGGAGACCTCGTCAGTCTCTCCTGACTGGATAGAGGCCACTCTTTCCATTGTGCCACAGTGCTTCCAAGGTCTCCCATGTTCATCCAGTCCATCCCTTTGTTTATAAGCAGGCTTCACTTAAATTTTAGTCATGGTAGGTGTCCCTTGTTCTGAAATCTGTAGAAAGAGTTACTGACATCTTCTAGGTGCCCATTTTAATGAGAACATCTGCCACGTCTATCCCCACTCCCCCCCATTTCCTCTTCACCTGCCTGAATTATCATAGATCCTTAGTGTCAAAGTAATGAAATTTAACATTAAATTTAGAGAATTCCAAGCAGTCATTTCAGAATCTTCCAAGTATACTGGGACTAGGCCATCCACGAGTGACCATGTGGGAGTAATTTTATTAGATTTCTTCATGCCTTTTGATGCATTTCTTTCTACCTTGAGGTTATTACCTTCAGGTTATTCATAGTACACACATTTACTGAGTGACCCCTTTGTGCAGGGTGCTGTAACTAAGTGCTGTCCTAGACACATGGTTCCCACCCTCAGCAATGGATGATGGTAGTCCCTTTGTGCTTTGTGCTAAACAATGAGTGGTGCTTTGCCTTGTAGAATTGGCCCCTCTCGGTGTTCATGGTTGACTGGGTTCTGGGGTAGGTTCTCTGGCCTCCCAGCTCAACCTCCCACTAGCAGCTGCGGGACATTGTGCAAGACCTCTGTCTGCTTCTGGAGAAACCAGAGTCATCTCCTAGCCTAAGTCCTGCTGTCTCATCAGAAGACATGTAACAGGGCAGGAGAAGCTGGACTTAGGAGGTCTATATGCCCAGGCTATTAACACGGTGACACAGGAGCAGAAAAGGTCTCGACCAAGCCAGTGGCCAACTTTCCCCTTCCACTCACCCTAGACTGATGGTCCCCAGTCCCTGAAATTTGGCTCAGCTTAGCCACATGCTTGTTGTATGGACCATGAAAGCCCAAATCTTCATAATTAGAAAAAGTTATATGTGAGCGATGTAATAAAGATAGTAGTAATGTTCAGTTGTGTTTTTCTCTGTCTTTGAAAAGCAAAATAATGCCCATGTTGCTATTAATGATGTGTAACCCCAATTGCATTTTGTCTTTCTGTGTTGCTGCCACAGCGTGAACTCAGCGTCAGGTAAGAGTTTTAATGTTGTCCTGTCTGCAGCAAGTGAGGCATTTCCAATACCTTGGCTTGAGCTGAAAGAGAAGGCCAACATAATCAAGATGTATCTCTAAACGAACCAGATTTTCTTGGTTGATATTATTCTTTGATAGATTCATTGAGTGATCAGAATGAGAATCTCCAAACCGAAAGGGATTTCACTGGGCATCTAGTGCAGTCATCTGAATTCACAGAGGAAGAAATGGAAGCTCAGGAAGGGAACATGAAATTTGCTCATGGTTGTCCAGTGAGCCACTGCCTAGGTGAGGCATGGGATGCATGGCTCCTTGCTGCCATGCTGTTGTTGCTCTTTTTAACATGTTACCCAGCTTCTAAAGGCTCGGTCTGGGAAGAGCTCTCTGCCTTTTCAAAGAGGCAAGCAGATTTTTGTTTGTTTTGTTTTGTTTTTTCCACATGTGTGGATAAGAACAGTACTTGGTTATTTGGGAGGTAGAGCACAAGATCATGCTCTGTTTTTTGTGACAATTCCTGCTTCCTGCCCAAGGGGTTGTCTTCATTTTTTAAAAAGTCAACTATGGATTTGGGGGAAAAAAAGGCAAATTAGGGTTTTTCCCTTCTGGATCCTATTACATTGGCAGCAAATACATTTTGCTCCCAAAGATTGTGAACATGAGATTTCTTTCTTCGGGGGCTCTAAGCTGTCTCCTTTTTAGGAAATTTTGGCTGCTTCATGGCAAAGCTTTGATGGTTGAAGCCTAATTTTAGAGCTAAGACTTTTTTTTTTAAACTGAAAAGCTTCTTTATTTTTTTTTTGCTTTTTTTGTTATTTATTTTTAGTTTTCAACATTTACGTCCATAAGATTTTGAATTCCAAATTTTCACCCCATCTTGCCCCTACCCCCACCCCTAGATGGCATGCATTCTGAATATCCCTTCCCCTAGTCTGCCTTCCCTTCTATCTCTCCCCCCTCCTCATATCCCTTTCCCCTTCTATTTTCCTGTATGGCAGGATAAATTTCTGTACCCCATTTCCTGTGTTTCTTATTTGCCAGTTGCATGTGAAAACATTTTTTTTAAACATGTGTTTTTAAAACTTTGGGTTCCAAATTTTCTCCCTTCCTCCCTCCCCACCCACCCTCATTGAAAAGGCAAGCAACTCAATATAGGTTATATATGTGCAGTTATGCAAAACACTTCCATAGTAGACATGCTGTGAAAAACTAACTCTATTTCCCTTAGTGGTATCCCGCCCCCCTATTTATTCTATTCTTTCTTTTGACCCTGTCCCTCCTCAGAAGTATTTGCTTCTGGTTACCCCCTTTCCCTGTCTGCCCTCCTCTCTATCATCCCCCTACTCTCTTGTCCCCTTCCCCCCCTATTTTCCTGTAGGGTTAGACAGATTTCCATACCCAATTGAGTGTGCATGTTATTCCCTCCTTAAGACAAATCCTATGAGAATAAGATTCGCTCATTCTGTCTCACCTTCCCCCATTTTCCCTCCACTATAAGAGCCTTTTCTTTTCTGTTTTTTTTTTTGTGAGATAATTTACCCCATTCTACCTCTCCCTTTCTCCTTCTAGTATAATCCTCTCTCATCCCTTAATTTTATTCTGCAGATATGACCCCTTCATCTTCAACTCACCCTGTGCCCTCTATCTATCTATCTATCTATCTACCTATCTACACATACATACATATAATTCTTTCCCTCCAACTACCCTAATACTGACAAAGGTCTCATGAGTTACAAATATCTTTCCATGCAGGAATGTAAATAGTTCAACCTTAATAAGTCTCTTATGATTTCTCTTTCTTGTTTACCTTTTCATGTTCCACTTGAGTCTTGTATTTGAAAGTCGAATTTTCTGTTCGAGCTAAGACATTTTTAAGAGTAAAAGTAATTTTTTCAAGCTTAATATGGAAAAGAAAATAATGAATTTCTCATAATTCCTTTTTGTAGCAAAAGTTGCTTGAAGTTAAAATAAGTTACTGGCCTGGAACTCCTTCCCTATTTACTATGATAGACTTAGACACATTAGGACAGACTGTCTGTTACAGGTCCAAGGAGGAATAGCCAGATGGAGACCAAAATGACACAGTGAAGCTACCTGCATCCCCACTATCTCCTTCTTAGCCAACCCAAAGAATTCGGCCATACCCCAGATAGCAAAGCCTGTTGGGCAGTAGAGTCCCTGAGGGTCTCAGAGGAAGGACCAGCCTGCCCTGTACAGGTACACCCTTAGCTGTCTGTGGAATCTTTCTCAAAGGCCTCCTGTACAAAGTCTCATTAGTGAATTTAAACTTAAGCTCCATGTTTAAGCAACAACAATAACAGAAAAAGCTTGGGTCAATTATTGCTGAAACACACAAAGCACTGAGGGGCAGCTCTTTTCATTGTCTGGTCCCCAAGGTCACTTGTTTTCCTGGAAAATGCAGTTGTAAGTGGAGAAATAGTTACCATTTCAGAATCATTGAGGATGTTCACCTGGGAATATCCATAGATGATTGTCTTAGGTAGTTCTGCTTTCTCTGCACAACTGAAAAAAGCTTTGAGACTTTGGGATCCATTTAGAATTAAAAGCTTGAAATTAGCTTGGAATTAAACCACGCAGCCCCACAGTTTATGAAAGGTGTGTGCTAAGATAGCTGTATTGCTCCTTACCTTTGTGGTTACAATCTTAGCATTTATTTTGGTCCAGAAAATGCAGTGATGTAGGAGTTAGTGCCTCAGTAGTATTAGAACTCATGGCCCTCAGATTTGCAGTCCAAAACATAATCCTCCTTGGGGAAGAGCCATGTTTTAGATACCAGAATCCACATTGATGGTATGGTTGAATGATGATAAGTCAACCATAAAAGCTGCTGCATATTGGAAATGCCTCTCACATGCTCAATCCTTGTTTCGTCTGCTTAGCTCTTTGCCTCTGGTCTGCTTCCTGTGAAACTGTATGATACCTTTATGAGGCACTTTCTGAGAATTGGTCACCTCTCAGATTTTATTTTATTTGTTCTTTGTTTCCTTTTGAAGTTTTTGTTCTGCAAAAGAAAAAAAAATGAAAATAGTTTCCAAAGTTTCAACCTTTAGAGAGAGCCTGAGAACAGCCTGCTGAATTTTCCGTTCATTGGTCAGCCACCAGGAAGTGGTGGCAGGAGGCCCCAAGTACCTTCTTCAGACACAGGAAATGTGATTACTGTGCTTGGGAGAAGTTCCTTCCAGGGCCCCTTGCAGACACATTACCAGGCTGAGGCATCAATGGACAGTCTGCAAGGACAGTAGGACTCATGGTCTGGTCTATAGAATTTCCTAGCTTCTCTCACTTTCAATGAATGGATTAGAAAAATGCTCCACTCTCTCCCTTCTTCTGTGCAGCCATCTTATTTATTAGTACACTACAGCTCCAATTTTGTCATCTGTAGAAACAGATGACATCTGTTCATCCAAATATCCTCTCTCCTCTGCCATGATTCCTACCTCCATCTTTCTTTTTAAAATATGGCCAGAAGTAACAGAAGAATTCAGTATATTGACAAATCTGGGGCCACTTTGCCATGTGTCAGAACATAATGATTGGGAAACAGTGGGTTAGAAGTAGCCCAATCTCTGCTCCGTCTTTAAATGGAGTGGGTGGGATGGTCTGTAAAAGCTGACTTTGCTTGGGTAGACATATATGTGATGACCCTGAAGATTGTCCTTAGTCTTCCCTGGCCTCCATTATCAATTTCTTGGTACCACATGGAAGCCAACTACAGGCAAACTCCTGAATCCAGTATGCCTCTGGGATCTCCCCTTGTTGGGGATCAGACACTTACTTTGGACTCAAGGCACCTGGCTGGGCAAGTGTGTGATATTTGGAAGGTCTCTGGATTCTGTGGCTTCTTGGGACTCTGTAGCATCTCAGCTTAAAGTACAGCCCATCAAGGAAGCAAACAAAGGCTGATGGGATAAAACCATCATAGGACTGTGTCCAGGGGCCTCTGTGATGAAACTGGGACATGTGAACCCCTACTGGGAGTGACCCCCAAGGCCTTAACTAAATAGTTTTCTTCTTTTTGTTCTCTTGTTATTGTTGTTGTTGTTGTTTTTTAAAATGAACCCTATGTGTTTCCTGCCTTGTTCCCTGAACATAATCTTCAATCTGGTGAGCAGAGGAAGCTACGCTGGGATATGTGAGGAAAAAGTTGCATTCTTTTGATTCTGATACTAATTGTGTTAGTTTGGTAGTTGGGGCCACCATCCCTCTCCTCTCCTTGATTGAGCTCATTTGCATGTGGGGTTTTGTGTGTGCGTGTGCTTATGCATGGGCACAGGACCCACTTTAGGACACTGAGGGCATGCCCCCAGGCATAGCCTTCAGCACGCTCTCCAGGATCTTTTTTTTTTAAGATACCATGCAGGCAAACAACCTAGGACTGAGCCAGGAACCAGATAGGACTCTTAGCTGATTGTTCCCATACCTCTACAGCCATTGTTTGTATGGAAGCCCATAGACAGCACGAATGGTGGGTTTGCCAGCTGTGCCCAGCCATGCAGTCTAATACTTCCATCCAAGCATGGGGCAGTAGGAGAGCCTGGTTGCTGTTGCCAACACTAGTCTATCAGATAGGATACAGTTTTGAACTATAGGATCCCCTGAATTATCTGTGAGTGCCTATAGTTCTTTTTGGAGAACACGATGGCAGTTTAAAGTATAGTTTATTTGGAAGTGGGATGAACTCTTCAGCCTGTGTGGAAAGAAAAGGGAAGGCTGCTCTCTCTGATCAGATGCAGGGAGGGCAGCTCTGACAGACCTACCGTCAACCCTTCCTCAGTGCCTGCTCAAGCAGGCATTCTCTCTTGTTTGGATGTGTCCTCTCTCCCATTCCTTTTCCAAGAATGAGGGGACATCAGTTGTGACTCATTCCCAAGAGAAATGTGTCCAGACGTCATTGAATTTGATCCCAAAGAAATGATTAGATAAAAAATTGAACAACAACAAAATCATCCCTGATGTTTTCAGAATGACAGCACAAGACTGATTTATATTTCTAAGGTTCAAGTCTCCCTGACCCATGCTTGTTTGGTCCCAGGTTCTGCCTGTGACAGTCCAGGCAGGTCACTAACCTCTGCAGGACAGGTTTTGTTAGAGTTGTTTTCATTTTTTGCCATTTGTTATTCAGTTGGGTGGGGTTTTTTTTGTTTGTTTATTTGCTTTTTTAATGAAGTTATGACATATATACTTCTTGATTAATGACCAGGAGCCCAACTAACCTTGCCCTTTCCAGTCTTGACCTCATGCCACTTTGGTCCATTTGGCTACAGGAAACTTCTGGGCTAAATCAAAGGAGTTTTTTTCACGAAGCTAAGACTTATAAGCCTGTGATTAATCATTTCTGTGTGAGCCCAAAGGAGGAGAAGGAATCTACTTCTTGGGTGGAGAGAGAAGTAGTTCAGAGAGGACAAAAAACTGCTACAGTTCTCCCCTCACAAATAACGTTCAGCTTACTTCCTGGCCCGCTGAGGTATTCTCTCTGTTTCATAATAAACATTTCAGGAGACTAAAGTTCTTGCAAGACTTCTTGGGAGACATCATACTGTTGGAGTTGACCAGCTTTGTCATTTGGACCAGCCCAGCCTAGCTGAGAATGTGCCACTGAGAACAGGCTATTCCCTGGTCTTTGTGATACATATTTATCTCCTTTTCTTCTCCCCCCCCCCCCCCCACCATATATTACAGTAAATATTTACCATTTGACCATTTTTTCTGCTTTTTTCTGGAACACCTCCCCTAAATCCTGCCTTTGGACTACATAGAGGGACTATTTCCAGAACTGTCACCTTCTCCCCTTCATGGGGGCTTCCTCACCTAGAAAGCAGAAACAGACATGCCTTTGTTTGAGCAAGGCTCAGGGAAGAGATAACTTTAAATCCCATGGATTAGTCAAATAAAAGGCAGAGATGCCCTGTAATATGGTGAAATTGCCAGAACACCTTAGAGGTGCTGCCTATCAGATGGGCTTTATTGTCAAGTACTAAATGTTATTGTGATTTGCATTTGCTTGGCCAAGAAGGGGAAGGTTGGTATGTCCAAATTGGATATTCCCACTGTCTCCCCTCCTTGCTTCTTGCCTAATGATCTGCTGCTTGATGATTGGCTTGTGTGTTCATTAACCCCACCCCCTAGCCCCTTGGCCTCAGTGTCCCTCCTAGTGTATAGCAGGTAGCTGGGGCCCCACTTATAGCATCTGGTGAGTCCATGGTCTTCCCTTACCTTCTTCCAGAGAAAGGAGATGGCATCTATCTCAGCCACATGGGAGCCCAATATAGATAGTGGCACAACAAACTCCTTGTGTTGATGGGATGACAGTGCCTTCAGTACTGTCTGAAAGATAAGCCCTGCTCTGGAGGATTTTAGGACACATTTTCGTTGGATGTGGCTTTTAATGAACACTCTTGGGTAAATTTCTGTCTCTGAATAGAAATGGACTGAGTAGCCACTGTAAATGGCCGTTGGCCACTGGACTTTCTGTCCCCTAGATAATGGTTACCTTCAAGCTTACTAAGTCTTACACAGCTTTCAGAGTAGTGTTTGAGCTGTCAAAATGCAGCTGCCCTATTCTAGTCTACAGTGAAGTTGGAGACTTTGATTCTCTTAGCATCCAAGGTTACAGTCCTGAGGCCCCTCAATTTCCAGCTGAAATTTTCTTGCCTCCAAAGAAGCATGCTCATAGTTTCTGACCTGTCCCATGTTTAAGTCAAGTTTCCAGATGATTGGGTTCCAACCTTGAAGGGGTCAGAGGCCTTAGATAATTCTAATGAAATAATTTGGGTGAAACTAGCTGCCTGTCCTACAAGAGTCAGCTTCCATATGTATTATACCCCTATACACCACATACCGTTGCTGCCCTTGTTATATCACCCTAGAAGGATTGATCAAGTCCATATGACTGGGGTGAATAGTTCAGGAACAGTTTTCCTCTTGTCCTTTCTTTTGGCTATGTGGTAATGTGGTTTTGTCTCTCCTTTGATGGACCTTCATGAACATTGGTTTTCTCTTGATTTTCAGGGCAGCATTGGCCTCAGCTCACCAGTGCCACCCTCTCCCCAGGACCCTTAGTGTGCTGAAGAGCACCCCCCAAGTGAGGGGGATGCATACCATCATCAGGTACTCAGGAAAAACTGGTACATTCCCTAGGATGGGGCTGTTCCTATTACTGGTAGCATGAGAAAGAGGCCAGTTTTCTTTGATCACCTTGGGGTCTTCATCTCTAGTATGCTATCCAAAGAATACAAGGCATGTCAGCACTAGCCCCTGGTACTTGTTGAATTAGATGACTTCCAAAGCCACAGTCATTATTCTAGAGCTTTCAGCCAGTCTAATCCCTTGGCTTCAGTGAAGTTGTGTCTAGTTGTTTTACCATGGATGCAGAGCTTTTGGGGGGTTTTTTGTGCCCCTTCCCCCCGTGGTATTTCTTCTAAAATATTCAGAAGCAGATTTCAATTTGATATTGTAGAAAGACTTCTGAATAATTAGATCTGTCTTGAAGTGGAATCCACTGTTGAGATCTTCGGACAGTGACAATCTGTCAGAGACTTGCTTCAATTCAACACACATCTATTAATTACTTACTACATACAAAGTACTGATTTAAGTGTTGAAGATACAAAGACAAGAAGGGAAACAGTCCCTGCCCTCAAAGAGCTTACATTTTTCTGGGGAGAGGCGGATCCAGTATGTATATAAGCAAGCATGTTCAAAATAAGGTCATTTCAAAAGGGAAAGAGTGCCAATGGCTGAGGAATCAAGAAGAGGCCTGTAAGATTTGGCACTTCAGATATGCTTTGAAGGAAACTATGGTTTCTGCAAGATGAAAGGGGTAGGGTGGGGAAAATGCATTTGGAACTTGGCAGACAGGTCAGGCAAAGGCATGGAGGGGAGAGATGGTCAATTTGGAATGGGTGCAGGAATCATGGAAGTAATATGAAATAAAACTGGAAATAGCCTCTTCAGAGGATATGGTTTGGACCAGATGGACTAGAATGGGACCACCCAGTAAACCGATCCTCTAGAGGCCAGCCCTAACTGTACTTATGTCAGATCTGGGGAAGACGGCTTTCTTCCTACCTACAGAAGAATTTGGCTCTGCCCCCGTCTCCAGCCTGGTAACTGGACATTACCCTGACACCACCAGGAGATGTTCTAGGAGAGAAGTGGATGTAGTTCCTGAGCTGGTCTGGGTACTCAACAGTATATTCAATGGCTGTTTTCAGTGTTTACTTAAATTCAACATTTATCAACTTTCCAATTCTATGCTTATCTTAGCCCAAAGAGTAGGATCTCCTCCTGTCCCTCCGTGAGAAGTGATGCCATCTGCCCTCTCTTTCCTTCCCCCACTCCTTCCTAAAGTTAGCCCATATCTTCTTCTCCAGGGATAAGGAGACCAGTCGGGATGAATTTATCTTCTATTCAAAGCGACTAATGAGGCTTCTCATTGAGCATGCTCTCTCGTTCCTGCCCTTCCAGGTGAGGAGCCCTTGTGCTGCAGGGTTTGGGTTTGATGGGGAGAAACCCAGGAGACTGTAACTTGGCCTAGCCAATGGAGGCCTAGCCAAGAGTCCCTCTGTACTATAGCAGGGACTCCAGCATTCGAAAGAGTCACCCTGTGCCAACTCACATGGCTTCACCACCAGGGAGGGGGCATCGACCAGAGGGGAAGTTCAGGCCCTTGTGGGGCAGCCAGATGATGCCTGGTCTAATGTCCTCCCCTCAATCTGCTTTTGCCTAGGGCTGCACAGTCCAGACACCTCAGGGGCAGGACTATGAAGGAAAAACTTATGCTGGGAAGCAGGTAAGTGACAGGAAAGGGCTAGCTTCCTGCTGGGGGTTAGGGAAAGAATGACCATAGTGGCTACCAACCCAGCAAATATATGACGAGAACTAAATAGGTTCTTGGAATATGAGCAGAGCCCTTGGATTGAATGACACCTTGAGACTCCCTACTTTCTTCTGCTATGGGGGCAGATCACAGGGGTGTCCATCCTAAGGGCTGGGGAGACCATGGAACCGGCTCTGCGGGCTGTGTGCAAAGATGTCCGGATTGGCACCATCCTCATCCAGACCAACCAACTCACTGGTGAGCCAGAGGTGAGGACACAAGGAGGCCCCACCATTGCAGGGAACATAGGGATGGAATTGGGATTTGGAACCTTGATGTTGTCCGGGAGGGTGGGTGCCTCTGGGGTGGCTATTGAATGCATAATGAGGTCCTAGGCCAGTACATGGGCTCCTGGTTTAGGGCTCTTCTACAAAGAGCAAAGGGATTGGGAATGGGACTTTACACAGGCCAGGGCAGCAGCTGCCATTCACCACTTAGCCCTGAGCCCAGCCTTCTCTCATTGCTCCCTAGCTGCACTACCTTCGGCTCCCCAAGGACATCAGCCAGGACCATGTGATCCTGATGGATTGCACGGTGTCCACCGGTGCGGCAGCCATGATGGCAGTGAGAGTGTTGTTGGTGAGTAAAGAAGGAAAATGGGACAGCTGCAAACAGGGATACAGGAGTAGGTAGCATCTCTGCCTCATGGGCTGCCACACTTCTGATGAGACCGGAATGTGGGCTTGTCACTTAGAGCTAAGAGTGGGACTCAGAATTCTTCCCAGAACAACCTGTGCAAGGGGGGCCTGTGGGATCAGGCAATAGGATTATGGGGTTTAAAGCTAGAATTGATCTTAGAAATCACCTCATCCAATTCTTCAGATTTTACAGAGAAGGAAACAGAGGCCCAGAGAAATTTACATGACTTACTGGAGGTTTCACAGATACTAAGTGGCAGGGTCAGGGGGTGGAGCCAGCTTTTCTGACTCCAAATCTGGTATCCTCTCTGCTTCTCTACACTGCCTTCTGCCCTCAGGACCACGATGTTCCGGAAGACAAAATCTTCCTGCTCTCATTACTGATGGCCGAGATGGGGGTCCACTCTGTGGCCTACGCCTTCCCACGGGTGAAGATCATCACCACAGCTGTGGATAAGAAAGTGAATGACCTTTTCCGCATCATCCCTGGCATTGGTGAGTGTCCTTCCCTCAACAGCCCAAAGCTCTTCTTCATCCACGCCAATTTTGATTTCCCAACAGGGGGCTCACCCCTGATCTAAGGGGTTGGATAGGGAAATACACCTGACTCGCAATTGTCTCTCCAGGTAGGCCGGGGTCAATAATCCACAAACCTCTTTTCTGGGGCTTGGAGTGCATGTTGTTGTCCACTTGTTTCGGTTGTGTCTGAATCTTCTTGACCCCATTTGGCGTTTTCTTGGCAAAGATACTGGAGTGGTTTGCCATTTCCTTCTCCAGCTCACTTTACAGATGAGGAAACTGAGGCAAACAGGGTTAAGTGACTTGCCCAGGGTCACACAGCTAGTAAGTGTTTGAGGCTGGACTTAAACTCAGGTCATCCTGACTCCAGACCCTGCCATCTATCCACTGCACCACCTAACTGCCCTTCGGAGTGCATCATGTGATTTAAAAAACATCTCTCAATCCTACCCTCCATGACCTAGTGGTGGGAGGAAGAGGACAAGTGCATTCTGGTTGGATGGGAGGAGGCTTCTGGTCTGCACAGACATTGACGGCAGATACTAGGGGCGGCAGGATGGGGCAGTGGCAAGAGTGTCTGGAGTGAAAGTTAGAAGACCTGGGGAGGAGTGCCAGTTCTGCCTCAGAATTGTCTGCATCAGTATCATTGGATGAGAGACATGTGACATTTTAAAAGCTGTTTTTGACCCTGAATGCTCAGATAGCAGTGACACTTCCCATGCTCTTGACAGAGGATGATCTTGGGAGAAGTCCTGGGGCCCAAGAGTCCTAGAGAATGGATCAGTTTGGGCAAGAAGCTCAGTGTTCTGGACCCAGTTATCTGAACCCAGCGAACTGTAACCCACACCATCTGACCCCTCTCATTTCATTCAGCATGAGCCTGGGGAAGATCACCATCACAACATTCTTTCCTTTCCTCCTGCAGGAAACTTTGGAGACCGCTACTTTGGGACAGATGCCCCACCTGACTGGAGTGATGAGGAAGAACTAGTTGGGACTTAGCACACACAACCGCCAAGGAACTCCTTGCCTTCTCTCACCATTCCCTTCCTCTGCCTAGACTAGCCTTCCAGGGCCTCCGAAAAGGGCTGGGTGGGCAGGGCTGGGGAACAACCTGGACTCTTAGGCTCCTAGGGTATCAGTGGAGGGAGAAGAGATTAATTTATTTTGATTTAGCTTTGCCAGTGTAATTTATTTTGAAAGTTTTATTGAAAAATGAAATAAAAATGTTAGCCAAATTGAAGTTACTAGTAGGATTAGAACAGTTGACTAAGGCTTTTGCCACTGCCATACTCTCCTCTGACACTTTAACCCCAATTTTGATCCTTGAAGCAGAGGAAGGGGCCAGGGCATGGAAAGGATCAAACGGCCTCCCAGCTAGTGCACTGGCCTAGCCGCGGCTCGACCTGTGAGCCCAGTGGAGCCTGGGGGAGAGAGAGAATAAGGGGCTGTTAGTGCTTCAGGCTGACACGGGCCAGGAGTTTTGCTGGTACTCTCACACCTGCTGCTTTACAACAGCTCTGAAGCCTCTTCACAGGTGGCGTCACCTCACCGGCGTGGCACCATTGCCTGTCCTGCCCAGGGCATACACCACCCATCCTGTGTATAGAGTTCGAGCTTCAGCAGCCCCCTAATGCCTGGTACACTAAAAGCCTCAGTCTTCCTCCTCCACTAAAAACTCACATGATGTGGTTGCAGTTGTCTTTCCTGCCAACAGCATAGGGGTTTGTGCGTGGGTGTGTGGGTGTGTATTGAGGGGCGGGGGTGGGGGTGGTGAAACTGGGAAATACAGTAGAAATAGGGGGTGGAGGAAGGAAGAAGGAGGGCAGGGTAGCCCCTCAGGCCAGGTCCAGAGGCCCCACAGTATCCTCTGAGCTGAGCAGCAGCATGGAGCCCTCAGCCTCCATGAAGGCTTTTCCACAGGGGCCCATTCACTCCTGTCATTTGAGTCCGGACCCATCCTGCTCTCATTGAGCACCAAAGTCAGAGTCCCTATGAGAAGGAATAATAGGAGTCACCCACCTCCCCAAGACCATACTGAAACCTCACCAGCCTGGGCTAGAAAGAAAGCTGGGTGCTAGGAACTACAGCCACATTTCTATCTCTCTGATTTAGCCCCGAGGCCCAAGTCTCACCCTGCCTTTCCCTGGGCCTCAGCCTTCCCTTTAGTAAGATCTGGAGAGCCCTCGGATCACTGAGATTTGATCATCATGATACTCATCAGAGAGGTTTGAAATGAAGCTGTCATATGATCAAGGCATACATTGGATGGCGATTCGAGGCAGGACAGCTCAAGGCACAGTCCCGGGAGCTGCTTGGAGCAGCCCTGGGAAGGGTGTATAGCACATTGTAGCCAAGTTGGTAGGCCCAGCCCTGCTTCCTAAGCAGCCTGGCCTGAGGAGTCGCACTCTCTCCATACTCATTTACCCCACCCAGTTCCTACGGAGCTGTCCTGGTGCAAATCCCAAGGAATTGTTTCTGTTTGTCAGAGTTTGACTAGGGATGCTGCTCTTGGTGTCCCCCGTCCTTCACATCAAAGCCTTTCTCCTCTTATGGTCACCACTCCAGTTTATGTCTTCGCTTCTTGCTTGGACTATTAAGTCTTCTGACTACTCTCCCTACCTTCAGTCCGCCCTTTCCAATCCATCTTCCACACAGCTGCCAAAGTAGTTTGAATACCCAAGTCTCAACATGTCCCTCCCCTTCTTGAAAGCATTCATTCATTCACTCGAAGTATTTTTTTAAGGATCTACCGTCTACTAGTTGCTGGGGCTTCACTGGCAAATAAATGAAACAGTCTCTGCCTTCAAGCTTACATTCTGCAGGGGAAACAGCATAATGATTTTGTATTATACAAATGTATAATACAAATTATACATTTATATATTATACAATACACATTTCTATACAAATTTATAATATACGAATATATGTATACAACTGTTATACTATATATACATCATATATACTGTAAGTGTAATTTGTGTTATACAAATAAAATACAAATACAAAATGATTTAAAGTGATTTGGAAGGGGAACTAGCAACCAAGGGCATCAAAGAAAGGCCTTTGAGCTATCCTTTGTGAGAAACCCAGGGCTCTATGAAGCAGGAATGAGGAAGGTTGAGCATGGCAGGCATGAGGAACAGCTGGTGCAGGAACAGACGAGATGTGGAATGCCAGGTAGGTACCAGGAACAGTATGAAGGCTGATTTGACTGGAATGTTGAGTTCATAGAGAGAAGCAATGTGTAATAAGGCTAGAGAGGTAGGCTGGGGCCAGACCAGGGGTGGGGAACCTGTGGCCCTCCAGGTCCACAAATGTGGCCCTTTGACTGAATCCAAACTTCACAAAACAAATCCCCTTAATGAAAGGGTTTGTTCTCTAAAACTTGGACTCAGTCAAAAGCCACATCCAAGGACCTAGAAGGCCACATGTGGCCTTGAGGCTGCAGGGTCCCCACCCTTGGGCCAGACTGAAGGCTTCAGATGCCAGAGGAGCCTTCCATCATCTTATTTCCTTTAGGAAAAAAATACAAACTCCCAAGTTAAGTTCCTTAAGGACACAAGGTTCTGTTTTTCTATTTTGTATCCCCATTGTCTACATGATACCTGGAGAGCACTTAATAAATATTTGTTGCATTAAATATTGGGCACTTATTGTCCCTTACAACTTAACTCCAACATAACTTGACAACCTTACTTCATGGTGCTCCTCTCTGAACACCTTCTGGTCGAAATGCACTGCTAGCAATTGTCACGTGTCACGCAGCCATCTCCCACCTCCTTGTCCATGCAAGCATGGACCATGCCTAGGATGCACTTGTGCCTTCCCGCTGAGGGTTGGACCTCCCTTCCTTCAAGGCCCAGCCCAGATGCCAGCTGTTCTAGGAAGCCTTCCTTCAACTCCCAGTTAAAAGTTATCTTTTTCTTAATCAAATTTTCTTTTTGAAAGCTCTCCTTTGCCGCTATCATACTCTGTCTTATACTTGTCTGCATGTACTCAGGATAATAGATTTAGAGTTGGGAGAGACCTTAGAAGCTATTGAGTTCCACTAGATTTGTACAGATAAGGAAACAGGCCTAGAGAGGCCGCCTTTTAGATAGTAAGTTCCTTGAAGACAAGACTGGTTATTTTGTCTTTGCATCCCCAGTATGATGTATGGTACACAGTAAATGTTTAATATCTGTTGGATTTCATTGAAGGGGCGAGGAAAAAGGCATTGTGACCTATATAGGGTATATGTTGTTCCTCTCTCCCCCAAAAAGAGCTCCCTACCAAGAGAGAGTGGCAGAACTCGGCAGGATTGTGACTAGTCACCTGCCCCGCTCCAGCTTATAAGAGCTTGGATCTGACTTTTTTCCTCAGCCCTTAGTGCTCTAATTTGTTTACAGCAACTTCAGGCAACCACAGCGGAAAATGGTGTGGGTGTGAGGGGGATTGAGGCCTGCACCCTTCCCTCCTGACCATCCCCCTCTCCTACAGCAATGACCATAGTGCTGGGGGGAGGGAGGGGAAGCAGTCCTGTTCAGAAAAGAGATAGAGATCTCCTTGCAGGGAGTAAGGCAGAGCCCAGACCTAGGAGCTGAACTGGTAACATACTGAAACCTTGACCTCCCACCCTGGACCATCTGCTCATTTCTCATTTTGTGGCCACATGGCCAGCTTCCTCCCCCAAGCCAGTTTCACCACAAGGGAACTGCACACCAGAATGAGTCACTTGGGCCACTCTGGGTCTGTTTTTCCATCTATAAGATGAAAAGAACATCTTTTCCCCTGCCCCCTCCACTGTCTCAGGAAGGACATGATGAGACTCAGGGAGGGCCTATAGGTTGGTTGTGTGCTTTGATCTCTGAGACAAATTATGTGCTTGTATATTTTTCACTTCTGTACTTAGGACTGGCCTCTTTTTTTTTTTTTTTTTGGATGTAGAACAATTATTTATTTCCTCCTCAACAACAATATGAAATTTAAGATACAAAAGACTCATAAGTATATACTACCAGATTCTTAATATAAAACAATACCATCATTATCATTATAATCTCCCTGAAAATAAAGGTGCTTTGTAGAACTACTGACAGACATTCCATTTTCACCTCAGGCCTTTACTGTCCAAGCAACTTCTTTCAGATCCAGATCTTTTGACCAGCTAGGCATGGCTTTTTAGTCCTTTTAAGTTCAGGATAAGCCTTCAGTGACCATTTCCTTTTGAACTCCTGAAGTTTCACCAAAAGTGGATTTCTCAGGATTCCCGTGGTCAGGGAATTCAAAACATTGGACATGACCATGGACTTGAGGACCAGTCTCAGGCTCACTTAGGAAAGCACGTGTTCTTGCTGCCATGTGAGATTAGCCTCCATTGCCATTGGGATAGAGTAAAAAGGAGAGAAATTCTATTTTCCACTTGCTGAAAGTTCAAGTGAGGGCTGGCAGAGCCCCAAAGTGATGAGCTCAAAAGAGTAGTAGAGGCTCCTTATCGTTTTATAACCCAGTAAGAGGGTAGCTCTTCTTAGCTCAGTAGCCAATCATCTTCAATGCCATACCAGTCCCGGGAACCAAATGACCAATTAAAAGTTGTGCTGCACAAAGCCTAGAACATGTTCAGCTTTACGGCAAATTCCCTGGTCCTTTGGGTTTGAAGGGGTTAGGGAGTGTCTCTGCTAATTCCCCCTTGCAACCTTGTTACAACCTTTCCCCCGATGTTTATCTCCTAGAGAGCTTCAAACTGCCACTATGGCCTCTCATTTATCCAAAGGCAAAGCTAGTCGAAGGTTATGGAGACCTTTGAATTGATAATTTGTGAAGTTAAGAAATAGAGACAGGAACATGGTTCTGGTTCTTTGGGTACTCAAAGAGGAAAGACTACAATTGGTAGTGGAAAATGGGGCAGCAATCACTTTAGTAAGAAACAAAGACAAGTGTTGAAATGTGGTACACAGGCTGAAGGTGGTATGAGGACAGAGAATGGAATGGTGAAGGAAGGCAGCATGGGGAAGAGGATTGGGAGGGGCAGAGGTAGAGAGCATCACTCCCATCAGCATGGATTGGAGTTAGGAGCGCTAGGAAGCATGGACCTCATGGAGAAGGAAGAGTGCTTGGGGAGGCAGGAATTTGAGGCCTTATTTTTATAGGTTTTTGGGGGGAAATAGACTTATCTGTGCCAACTTGGGGTTTGTTCATTAACATATCCAGATCATCTCAAAGTTATCAGTAAAACTTCAAAGTCATCACCTTTTTTGGTGTCCTGCTCGTCTGGAACTATAGAGGTCTGGATTTTGTTTGGAATTTACATATCATAACACCAGAAATCTTGACAAGCATCACCTAGATGGTTTCTCCTGATTTGGCACATATTGCTAGGATGTGAATTTTAGTTAATATATGATATAATTTTTAAATTCTGCTCCCACGATCTTTGGGACAGTTTGTACATGACTTCCAGGTTCCCCTTTGCAATCTTATTTCTTGCTAAAATTTACCATGCTAATTAGAAGGGGAGTGGTCAGGGGGACCAGAAAATACAATTTTAATATACCCTGAATAAGCCTCTGCTGGTTTCCTGCCCTTTTTGCCCTAGTGATTCAGGTGCCTGGTTTCTCCTTTCTGGAATCCACAACCAGTTTGTTTCAAGTCTCTCATGACCCTTTCTCTTTTCTTCCCTATCCCTGTACCTCAAGACTAGAGAGCAAAGAGCTGGGGGAACAATTTATTTTTTTTTTCTTTTTTCTTTTTTTAATGTGCTTCAGTTTTATTTAACCAGTAAAGATAAATTAGCTTCTTGAGGGATATTTACTACAAAGATATAGCAAGAACAGAAGTTTTGAAGCATTTCCCTCGAACAGTTGAGGGAACATTTTCTCCATATCACCTATAAATGCTGGATTGAAGCCTTTTCCTCCATAAAACTTTCCATGATGCCTCATCCCACCCTTGGTCATGATTGTTCCCCCTCAAAACTTGAAGAATACTTTATTTTGCACCTCTGTAGTGCCCTGATGTTAGATATTTTTCTCTGAATCTAATGCTTTTATTAAACTGACACCTTTATGAGGGTAAACAATGGCTTATACCTGCCTAGCCATTGTATCTCCCTCAGAGCCAATAGAATTTCAGGCAAGCTTTTTGAAATCAGAAGTTTTTAATTTTTATCTTTTATCCCTAGCCCTAGAATAATGCCAGGCATACAGTATACATTTAATAAATACTTGCTAATTGATTGCCTAGCAGATTGTAAAGTGTTTGATAAGTGTTTGATTGAATTGAATTGCTTCCTTCCCTGCCATAATTCCAGTAATCTAGGTATTTTTGCTACCATTTTTCTTTCTTTATTTATTTTAAAATAAATTTATTTTTAAAATTCTGAACTTAACAGTCACTAAATAAAATGACCATTTCCACATACATAGTAGAATAGGAAAAAAGATTGTACATGGAACTGCAGATCTATAATATATACAGATTGCTTTCTCTTTCTTTTTTTGTTTTTTTTTATTAATTTATTTTTAGTTTTCAACAATCACTTCCATACCTTTTGAGTTCTAAATTTTTCTCCTCATTCCTCCCCAAGATGGTGTGCAATCTTATATAGGCTCTACATATACACAGAGGAACAATTTCTGTATTTGCTAATTGCTGTGTGATACCAGTTAAGAGGTTCACCCTCTCTGGGCAGAGTCCCACAGAAAATCAGCTGGGTTCAAGCTCAAATCTTGAATTTTGCAGGTAAAGAATCTTTCAATTATGTACTGAACATTTGAATAGTATCACCAAGCCTGATACCAGCTATGACATTGCAAGATAGACTTACCAGAGAAGCTAGGAGGGAGCTCAGAGAGGGCATTTGATTCAATCCAGCAAGCATTTCAGGGCCTGCATTGTGCTGGGTGCTGGGAATAGCAAAACAAAAATGAACCAAG